GATTCTTTAAAAAACCGTCAACTAGTCGATCTGTACTCTGATTGACTGTATTTTCTATGACATGGTATAATTGAACTGATGTAAAATAGTGTTAATTCCAAATTCTTTTGGAAATAAAGTTTATGCTTTCAGGGGGGATCTTTATCCACCCCATGACTTGTGTTCATTATACACACTTTAGATTACCCTTCTTTCCTTTTTTATTGCCTTCGAAATGCCTCAGTTCATGGTCAAAATTTGTTAAGTGGTTAGTTTTCCTTTGAAAGTGAACTGATGCTGTGTCGGTTGCGGAGTGGAAATTGGAAAATTGTTTAGTCAACTAGGTTGACATTGTCACCTCAAAAAGATGGCGTTTCGAACGTTCATCCCTCATCAGAAAGAATACTATCAGTATACCGAAAACACTCGCAAATTTGGTTATTTGAAAGTAATGCAAATTTTGTCCAAAAGTAAATATTTGCACATGTTACATGAGTAAAACGCACGCGAAAGTTTTTGGATGTAGTTTGGGTAAACGTTGGAAAACAGTGATGCATACATATAGATTTGCAACATGTTTGCTTAGATTTTTTCAGAAAGCAAACATTATTTTTCCACAGAGAGCAAATCTGGAGTAAATGTACACCGGATCTGTTGATTTGCGGAGGTATCAAATACGAAGCAAATGTAAAGTAGATTTCAGGTTTACGTCGTATTTGCACGCAATTTCAACAGAATAAACATCTGTGTTTGCATCATAATTACTTCTGATGATAATTTTGGTCAAATTTAGAGGGCTAAATTTGCACCATATTTACTTCTGTTGCAAACCTGTTTAAATCCGTTTTTTCGTGCAGTGTAGAGAGGCAAAAAGAGAAGTCTCTGTGGGGTTTGTAACTTGGAAAATAGTGCCTAAACTGGAACAAGTCCTCGAACAGTCAAGTGGTACGAGACAAGTTTGTCATTTTGTCTTTTCTGTTCATTTTGCCGTGCGTCTGTTCAGTAACAGATCAAAGAAGACGTTAAAATGAGGTAAGAACAAATTCTGAAGTATTATATTGGCCTACGGCTTGTGTCAGTGCCACTATCGTATTTCTTCGAATAATAGCCGGGGCGATTACTTCTTTTTTTGCACCAAAAGGGGGCGATTATTCGAGGGAGGCGATTATTTCAAATACTGATCACTAGAAGTCGTGCATTACTGCGCTTTTCACAAACATGCGAGTTCTGAAGTTCAAAAGCCAACTGACGATTGCGTTTTTAGCTGCCGTCAATCATCTTAACGGACCTCTTAGGAAACAAAACTTTACTTTAACGGGTTTCAAATATTTTCATCAAAGGGGGGCGATTATTCGAGAAAATACGGTATTTATCTGTGATCCTATGCGGTTTTAGAAAAGACGAAATACTGAGTATCATGCCGGATCATCCCGGGGGTGGGGGGGAGGAGAAGACACCTCATAATTGCTATTCTGAACCAGGCTGCGCAATACTGGGACTATGGGTTAAATTTAGAGCACTCTTACTCGATGCTGACATGAAAGAGAACAATAAACAAGAGCAAAGACATGACAGATAAAACTGTGTGCTAGATCGTACTTGGCGAAGAAAAATTATTTGACCTTGCAGTGGAGAATCATGGAAATTGAAAAAGAGAGAGAAAATGCTTTGGTAAGTAATTTATTTAAAATGAATACATTCATGGCCAGTCGCGATCTGCAAAGATCTCTGAAAGCGGCAGTTTATGATAGCTCAACAAACATTATTTGCCATATATGCTAATTCAGTTATTCATTACAATAGTGGCTAATTGCTCTACTTAGTAATAAATGAAATATACTATTCATTTAAAATTAATGCTCCAATAGGCCATTTTCCCGCTGTAAATTCAATCAAAACTCAGAATTCGGTTTCTTTTTGCTTAATTATTGAAATTTCTAAATCTTACAAATGTTCAAAAAACATGAAAGTGAATTTATGAAATATAATATATTTAAACTGCAGAAGAAATATACAAGTAAATATAATCATTTAAGAAACAATGGCCCAGATTTGCACAAGAAAAATACAGACTAAACGATTCATGCAGGAGGTTGTAGTAAAATGACAGCATCATACAGATATTTTGTTATTGTTCATCAAGGCAAATTTCAGACTCTGGCGTCCCAAGTAACGTATTAAGCACGCCAAGCGCCTGCTGCACGTCTTCTGGGACATCAAATTCTGGAATCTTCATGGTGACCTCAACACCGTGGATAGGCACAACGCAGTACTGAGGGCAGTCAACGGTTTTCCAAGGATTTGTCTTGTAGATTTTTGTGGTCAGAGGGGTTTTTTTATTAGGTAGAAGACACGCAGCAATGTGGATTCTAAATCGCTTGTTCAAAATCCAACCCAAAAGGGCTACGGCATTGCTTAGTACCCATAGACGGATCTCTTGAAGATCTGTAACATTTGGGGGTTGGAAATAAGGTATGACAAGTCCACGAGTTTTCCCTTTGAGCACATTGAATAGGTGTAACAACATTTGCCAGGCGCTTTCGGTGCTACTTACGCGATTGAAGACCACCTCCGGGATGTACGTGTAATCTTTCGGCAGGGTGTTCCAGTCGGATGGCTTGGCTGGTAGTACAACACCTGTGTAACTGACCATCTGGGGCCTAATATTCCCTGTAGCTATCCCATAAGCAGCACTCGTATGGAGAGCACAGCCCCAAGGCTGGTACAAAGTGATAGAATCTACTCGATCACTTAGGTAATGTGCAGCGCAAGGAAGCATTGGACCTTGGACTTCACCGTGTGCAAGGAATGTCAAGTCTATTATACGATCCCCCTTTTGTTCTTCTTTCACTTGCTCTAGGTATTCTTCAATCTTGAGTCTTAAGAATGTGAAGGCGCGTGCCATGGAGTACACATAATCTGGACCATCCACATTAATGTCGTTAAATACTTGGCCCCAGGAGTCCTTGATTTCGCACGCAGCTAGGTAGTTTAACACCATAGCAGATTCTTGGACGCTAACTCTGCCTTCACGAGAAATCCTTTCCAGAAAGTTTTGCAGTTCACTCTTGAGGCTTCTCTCCCAGGCGTCTCCCAGTGACCTAAAATATTCCACCAAACAAATTTAAGGAGTTGCACCTTTAAAGTCTTCCAGGGGCAGATTTTAGTATTGAATTCAAAGCATTCAATTTTCGGAATTGAATTCATTTTGAAAACCAATCGGTTGGAGCTATCGCCATGAGCATTTAAAGCATATTTTCAAATTCAATGAAACCACTATGCGGTTGAATTATAGCTAATTATATTTCCAAAGCCATTCGTGTCCGAAGTCAGATAAACACAGATTCAATAGCCAATGAAATCATAATTACATTGCTAGGAAAATTTCGACGTCGATAATCAGGAGATCTTTAGATTTAAGACATTTAAGGACGAGAACGGGCACGAGTACGAGATTTAACTTAAAGTTTTTGCGCGTGTTCTAAAAAAAAAGACACCCCTGGAAGCTTCATTTTACTTTTTTTTCACCAAAAAAGCTAGTACGGTTATTTATACTGAAGGAGGATAAGCCCTCTTTCCATCGCAAAATGATAAAACTTCTAACATTTGATAACTTGTTCATGCCACTACGACATTCTCGCTAAAACTCGTAGTAGAATGACGACGACTATCACGTTTTCCCGCCAAAATGACGCTGGTTCACGCGCGAACACTACTTAGTATTGAGAAAATCTCGTACTCGTAGTCGTCCTCGTCCTCGAATCTAAAGCTCTCCATTAGGGAGGGTACGTTTTTTATTGGGGGGGGGGGGGGGGGGGGGGCCGGGGTTTTTTGAAATTTTTTTGGAAAAAAACAATGCCCCCCCACATTACAGACAAAATAATCAATAAAAAAACACGCAAGAAAACAACAAAAAAAAAAATATT